TGGTAATCCATGTAAATTTGAATATTGCAATAAAAAATTTTTAACTAATTGTGCAATTTCAAAATTAACAATTACACATGACTTATTTTGAGGAACTTTATTAGTATTACCATGAATATGATCAATCAAACCATCACTTTTTGCAAAGATGATAATTTTATTTTACTAAAACCATATACATAGGCAACCCTGTTAAACCAAAGGCAATTGTGCAGGGACTTTTCTTTGGATTAACAGGGTTTCAGATTAATGGGGTTTTTTTATAATCTGAAGTTATTATTAGAGTCATAAATTAATTTGGATAAACAGGGTAGTAAATTTAAAATTTTAGAATTTCCTTTATCCATTTATTATTAATAATAAATCATAATTTACAAAATTTAACTAAAATAGGTATCAATTTCTGTTTGAGCCATTGACATAAAAATTTCTTTTTTTAATTCTCTTTTAAATTTGTTTAATCCACAAAGAAAACTCTCACTAATACCCATTCCTCTTCCTTCTTGCATTAGAAAAAATTGGAGCCTTTCAATCAATTCCATAGCTTGATCCATAGTTATTTTGCCTTCAGAAACTTGAGATTGGTTATCTTCTTCTTCAATCACTTCCTTCCCTTTAACTAGTTCAATGATTTCTTGATCAGCTAATTTATCCTGAATTTGCAATCTCAAATCTATTTCTATGTAGTCATTAGCAGATAATGGATCATCAAAATTAAAACAACCAATCATTTCTTGGATTGAATCTGTATCATCATCAGATGGTAAAATCAAATAATCTTCAATATTTTCTGAAGAAGGAAGGATATCAACTTTAGACCAGCATGAAACAATTGTACCAGGCGAAACAAGGTTCCATGCTTCTGCAGTAAAAGAAATAGCATCAAATATTGTAAGTTTTGATACAGGTATTTGTTGATTGATCTTATTGTCATATGCATCAATTCTGTTTTGACATAAAATCCACCAATATTTTGATTTAAAGGAGTGTATTATCCCACCATCACAAGGCTGGAGATGGGAGGTAGTATTTGTAGGGATGGGGCAGTTCTGCTCTGCTCTGTTCGGCTCTTGTGGAGCTGCTCCAATAGGTGGAGCGGTTCTTAGAGCCGCTCTCCATTACACAAAAATCAAAATGTTTCACAGAAAAAAAAAATACAAAACTTCGGCGACGAATAAACATTTTGATATAAGAAGGTGACGAATAACACATTTTTTTAGTGTG